TGCTACTGATACTGCTACTGCTGCTGCTGCTGCTGCTGCTGCTGCTGCTGCTACTGCTACTGCTACTACTACTGCGACTACCGGCCAGCCGAGCACCGGAACACGATGACCGAAATACCGGACGCCAATGGAACCCCTGAACACCAAGATGCAGACTGAGAAGCTGGGATGCCCGGAGCACCCGGACACAAGGCAATGGGGACCTGCAGACCATAGTGCCGGAACACGGGATCGCAGGCAAATCAGCACAGAGATTGCAGAGACCAGGACATAGAGGCGCCAAGATGCCGGGACACATGAAACCCTGTAATCGCCGCTGCAATCAGAACACCTTTGAAAATCGAGACACCGCCGCGCTGTCCAGGAAATACTATAATCGGGACTACGGGGCAGTGATGGAGCGCTGTTGTCCGGGACACGAGGTACAAAGTCCATCGGGAGACCCCAGGGAACCGGGCAGAGTTTCCAGTAGTGCTTTCCAGCAGCACAAGCCTAAGCCAGCAAAACAAGTCCAAAAATAAGATCCTGAGCATATCCCAGCCTTTCGAAAGTTCATGCTCAGACCTCCGCTACCAGGCTGTACCATCCCCGGGCCATTCCTGGAGATTCGTATCCTGTATCGAACTGTTGCCGCCAAGTTTCGCGCGGCCCTGCCACACGAGACATGTTTTGCGCGGGCCCAAGGTACTATGAAAAAGCTATTGCAGAGATGTCCCTCAGATTGCAGCTCTACGGGTACAAGATCAAGGACGGTCACTATGATAGTCATTCTCTTGCGCAGCATCCCAAGCCGACATGTGCAGGAACTTGATTTTGTTGTGCAGAAGCGACAGCAAAAGGCTTTGTTCGTTCTGCTCTTAGCTGCTCGAAACTTATGAGCACTCGTTCTGCCAAGCAGCGGCGGACTGACTCGGAGGTTCGCCCTGAAGAGATGACAGATTGCCCTTTATGGCTGGTTTTTGGTGAAGTGCTCAGTGTGTGTTTCTTGATCGCGCATTCGACACCACCGCTCATGTATTAAAACTGCCGTTCGAGATATGTAAGTTGTGGTGACCCGTGGGCCATATAAGGCAGCCCTCAGAGAAGTGTGCGCCATTGCTTTTTTCCCAGAAAGTCTCTCAAGATTCGCACCACACCCAGCCTGTCGAACCCTTTCGGTTGTCAACGTGGTCCTTCCTTGAACAAATGGAAAGCCAGATCCCACCTTGAAACTGGACTGCAACTGCTTTCGTAGAAGCTACCAGTCGTGCCGTTTCGCAAAGGATGCAAGATGACGCAGCCAAGCAACTGAATGTTCAGTGCCGTTGCAGGGTAGCTTCAAAGCTTCAAAGGACCAGCTGTGGAGTCTGTTTTGTCGACCGCAAAGTTGGAAGTCGCATGAATGCGAGGCGGCAGTCTCATTTTCAGTCTGTGCGGCGAGTCCGCTTTTGCAGTTGAGGATATGGGACAGCAACGGATGGAGTCCGACGGAAAGAGAGAAATGTTGAGCAAGGAATTTCTTGCAGCTAGACAGGATTTTTTCCGCGGTTCCGATGCTCACATATCTGCTGGGAGGTGCTCAGCAAAGTCACCTCTCATCCTCTCGTGTGCCGCGACAGGTGCCGGCAAACATCAGGCTTGAAGATCGCCAAACAGAGGGGCACGGCACGGAAACAAGGGCTCTTGACCACCGACCGCATAGGCTGTGTGTCGAGTATCGTGCGGCCACTGCTCCGTGTTCCCACGCACCAGACAAGCGAGATTGTTCGTCGTTCAGAGATGAGAAGTAACCTTGTAACATCAAGGTTGCAGCAATGCATCTTAACTGAGAGCACGGGAACCCGGCAAAGTTACATGGTGAGGTCGTTTGCACCAGATGTTCCCAACTGCTTGCTAATTTCGAGAGCAGCTGCAGGTGGAAATGCCATGGTTTCAGCCGACTGGCCGTCCTGCCGCGTTTGAAGGAGACCCAAAGTACGGGCAGCCATGCAGGCGCATGAACAAACGCACAATTTTCAATCCACATCCTTCCAAAGCCTTGTGCGATCGCTGAAATCACACAAACACGGCACAAGATACAACTGCAACCGATTAAGGGAACTGCAAATGCAAATGATGCCATGGACATCTCAGGCTGCCCTTCTGTGAGGCTGCCGTGTCGATGAAGGAGGATCAAGTCTGACGAAACTTGGCACGGGCACGCGAACCGTGATGTGCCACGTGCTCAGGACACGAGTGCCATGCCATGCTTCCTGCTGATCGACTACCCTGGCTTTGGCTTCAACAGTGCTCTGGCTGCTTCTGCTGTGCAGTCTGTACTTGGCATGTTCTTGCATAATAGCGTGCGAGATGTGCCAATCGTTTCACTCGGTGGAGCAACCAGGCGGAGAGCCATCTCCTCCAGCCGCCCTGGAGTCTTCCAAGCAAGCATTGGCACAGCTGCTACGTGAGCTTGGGCGAAAGTTCCTTCGTCAGCATTGTGTTGGGATTGATTTCGGAGCCTCCGCGCAAAAAAAATTCGAACTTGGCGAGTCAATTTGTGCCACAGCCGCCAAAGGTCGCCAGAATCAATCAACCTGCTTGGACACAGCTTGGGCGCAGCTGCTGCATCGCAGCTTGCAGCAAGCCTTTCCAGGCACTCTGAATTCACCCTGAATCGTCGATGGTTTTGGGAATTCGGATTTGCAGTGGATTGGCGTCATCGGTTCTGGGTGGTGTTCTCATGCCTGGAGGAACGGGCCTATGTTGCCAGGAACGGCCAGATAGGAAGATGGATTAGGCAAGACACATGGAGACCGAGCTGCAGCAAGAAGCCTTAAATTGCAGCTACAGAAATCAGGTTTCGATTGCACAGATACCTCTGCCGGGCTTCTCAGGACTGTCTTGTGGCCGTTTGTTGCCGACTCTAAGCCGACTGAGGTGCTTCTAACATGCTGGGGAACCTGCCGCCATGCAATTGTAATCCATGCAGCCAGTATCAATTGATTGACCCTTGCCATGCGTAACACGCATTCCCTCGCCATAAAACGCCTGCTTACAAGGATCAGCCTGTCCCGTTTGCATCCCTCTGCCGTTTCCATCTCTCGGTCTGTTGCAGACAGGTCATGGCAGTCAAGCACACACATGAACACCCGCTGTCATCTGTCCAGTCTGAGCAAAATCTGACGCGCGTCAAGGACGCGTATTCGGCCAGCAGATACATACAATGTCGGAATGTCGATGTACGCGAAGTCTAGAGGCCCTTCCTCTGAGTCGAAAGTCCCTTCAAATCTCAAGAAGGAAGCCCTCACGTAAACATCGATAATGGTGCTTCTACATTCTTCTAGTTGGCTGCTTTTGTTCTCGTTTTCAAGTCGTACCACAGGGTCCCTCCCACCAGAAGTGAAGGTGGCAAGTCAAGCATGTGCGACCAAGCGTTGAAGATTGAAGGTCTGATGAGTGTGCGAGAGCACAACCCGGGCGTTTGCTTCTGTCTTCCCCGTTTCTCAGCGTCGACGAGTCTCGGCTTCTCCAATTCGCAGTGTCCATGCTGTCCAGTGCAAGACCAGCAGTCAATGTCGCTCTGAAACTAAGGAAATGGCAGCAGTTTTGTTCGGTGGTCTCTTGCCTCGATGGCTTTTGCGGGCATTGGTGACCCACAGATGGAACAATGCCGCGACTGTGCCTGATGCAGCCGCTGCTGGCTGGCAGGCCTTAGAATGAAACTCACTTTGAAGCAGTGGCAACAAGTTCGTACGAGCTTTCCAGCCGCAGGTTTCGATAGTTCACCCGCCGGACGATGAGATCGTCCCTTTTCAGCACGGGGAGGCCCGGATGCTTGTTGATGCTCAAGCGGCAACAGGAAACTAGACATTGGAATTCAGAAACCTCGCCTCAACTGTTACGGACCGGCATGCAACATGAGCAAGGCAGCAACAACGCAGGGAAGGGCAACCAACACCGAGGGAAGGGCACGAGACTGGCCCTGGAGGGTAGGCTCCGGGGCACTTCGGCATAGCTTTTCACGGTAACATACTGTAAGGCGATGTTGCGGACAGTCGCTTGGGCGATGCAGGAGCTGCAAAACTCAGTTCGAGCTTTGGGCAAGGAGTGCGAGCTGCTGCGGCCAAAGGCTGGTCTGCTTCGTGGCTAATCTATATCCATACCTCTGCAGCAGCCGTGAAGTTTCGTTCAGGAAGCGCCATGTTTCATCAATCTCAACACTCTCAAAAGCTCATGTCCCAATGCTGGCACAGGGGTGTGGCCACAACGATGTTCTCTTTGCTGCGATGCCTGCGTACGTCAAGCTGATGGGGCTGAGCCGGTTGTAGTGCAAAGCTCAGGTTTGCGGAGGCAAAAACGGTGCGTGTGTTGCACAGGCACTGCATTCTGCTGCACCTGCAGTGTGTGCGAGTTCGTCTCCAATCTGTGGGCTGTTCTTGTTTCCATGTGTCACTATGACATACTATGACTAGGAATTTGGGTGGATCTGTGTGTTGGCTAACGCCTAACGACCCTGTTGAGAACAGAATGGAGGAGAAAACAGATGCAGTATGAATCAGTATGAATGTGTGAAGGCCCGAGCGGCGCGGTGCAGACCGGCCCATAAAGCCAGAGTTGCCCAGCGTTTGATGGCCATTCTGTGTTGTATCGTGTTGCCCGTGACTGCTCGGCAGTAAATGCCCCGGACCCGGCATGTAGTGCAAGTAGCCTGCAGTTTTATTGCATCGTCGTCTCACCTGCTGCACGTCAGCTCCGAAAGGATCGTCGTTATTTGTCTGTCCTCGAGTCGACAACTTAGCAATGCGCTTCATCCGGTGACAAAACATAAGCCTCGAGGGCCAGCAAGAAATCGGACGGAAGAGAGCCCAGGTTCGAGCTACTGTTCGTCCAATGAGAGAGACTGCCCTTTGTACGCGGGGTCGTGGCAGACACTTCCTGCCAGCAACAGTGGCAGAGCAATCGCCAAGGACGGGTTCATACGGGTTCGCATTGACAGGTTTGGTCTCCCGGCAAGAACTAGAAGGCGCGAAAGTTTTGTCAATGTCAGCCGAAGCTGGGCATTTCAGCTGTGCAGAGGTCTGACCGGCACCGTCATTGCTGGTCCAGATCATCAAGGCAATACTCACAACATTTCACAACCGTTAGTCGGGTTCAACCTTAGATTTGAGGTTGACATTGTGCTCAAAAGCTCAGTCTGCAGGTTTCTACCACATGAAGATGATGATCGAGGACAGTGCAGTCTCGCAAGTTATTCTACCCCGGCAGCCGTAATGCTTTCGAAATGGCAGTAGGGACCAACTGGCTCAACCTCACACAAGCGATCTTCAAAATGTTTTCAACTTTGCATCTCCCGAGTCTGTGCTTGGCAAGCAGGAGGGCGAACTGGACACTGTCGTCATGAGTGCTGAGAACATCACGCTGCGACTACGGAGAAGCCGTCTCCTCGGTCCCCTGCAGCTCTTTTACATCCAAACATGTATGACAGCCTTCTTCAAACACGGTGGACATCGTACTCGCCAGAGTATTCTACGATCGACCCATCTTCGTCTGGTGGTTTCATGCACAATGCCAAGACAGTACTGAGAGTACTGTAGCGTGCTATCTGCTATACACTCCCACAGTCACACCCTCAGGCGGTCACTACAGAGCTTCACCCAGTAGCATCAAATGCCCTGGTGCCCCAGCCGCCATCTGAAACACATGGATGAACAAAACATAAATGACACTTGCGGTCACTCAAAGACAATCATTGTCGTGCCTATAGACACCGCTAGCATTATCTAGCATTGCGGTCGCGGTCAAGCAATGCCAACAACGCAAACAGAGACGAGTGGCAAAGTTGCAGGTGGGCGACCAGGCATTCCCTGTCGCCAGCCGCTGCGCAGCTAGTCTACCACCCTGTTCGTTGGACAGTGCCATCACCCAAATCCAAAAGCAATCGCGCGCACGCACACACACACACACACCAACGAAAAAAAAAAGTAAAGCACAGACGACGAAGGAACACAGGCGCATGCAAACATACATGCAATACGCTTTACATAGTCTGAGTGGGACACTGAGCATTCCGGAGCAGTTGGCCGGGCCATGTCGATAAACCCTGCAAGCAGGATCGACTGCTTACACACATGGAAATCATGGAAGATTGACCTGGACCTCGGATTTCCACTTCAACTTTCCCGGCTGATGCAGAAAGAACACCGGCAGGCTCTTGCAAGTGCATGCAGGGCCCACACTCACCCGCGACGCAGGCCTTCGGCAGAACGAATTGTCCGTCATGTTCTGCTGGTTCGCGATTCCGTTGGACTGCTACCGCGCCGCTTCAGTGTGTGTTGTCACTCGGGCGCCCCGGTGACGTAATACATAGCATAGCATTCCATGGTTATCAGAGTCCATTACGGTATACGTTGAGCGGGGTGTCCTGCTCAAGTTGGGTCTTCGTTTGATTGCTGCATGCTTGCACGCTTTTAGCAGTCGCAACAGGTGCTTTGCCAGAGCTTGCGCGGTCGACTGGGTCAGAATTACCTGAGGCGAGTGCACTCGCAGCTGTAGCACATTTTAACAGGGCATGTGATGTATTGCGCAGCAAGCTCCGTCCAAGAAAGGCGCCTCTCGAATTGGAGGGTGTGCCCTTCCTGGCTGCAGTCCCGGTTCGGGAAGTCGGCACTGGTTGCAGCGAGAATGCAGCCGGTCAGGCGAGCATGGCGAGCCGCTCGCGCCCAGAGTCCCTAGAGCAAGCGGAGCCCAATGCGAGGCCCAAGGCCGGGCGCGCGGGGCGGCACTTTTTGGAGCAGAGCAGGCGGCCAGGAAAAGCGAATGCTTTTGTTGGAAGGTTCAGTTTTGTCCGACTGTGTCCGTGGAGCCGATCTCTGCGCGATCCTCTCGTGTGGTCAGCCTTTCAGCGGCAGCGGCTGAATGCTTGCTGGTCTGGGGCATAGCTGTTGCTCGAGGTGAGTTTGTCATTGTCCAGTGGATGCTGCTCCGGCTCAACTTGCTTTGCCATTTTACCCATTCTGAACCCACAGCTCGCTCCAGAATTCTGGTTTAAGTGCTGCGAACATCGCACCCCCTCAACTTAGGCTTCCGGCGATGTTTCGCAGCACGCACTGACGGAGGCCACTGCATGTTTAGAGGCAGCAGCATGTGTCGCAAGTGCTACCTTGCCCAGAACAGCAGCTGATTTTTCTGTGCTGGTAGCGAATGCCACGATACCGTCTGCTGTCCGCCGAAGCTCAGCAAGATGGCTCAAGGTGCGGCTTAGCATGACAGCCATGACAGAGCCGTCGAGAGTGCCCCGTCGGTTGGCGGCGTTGGATTGAAGTCCGGGATGCCCGAGGATGGCCAAATAACAGATCTAGCAGAAGTGGCTGAATCTGCAACCTTCCTGGAGAGCGCCTTGGACAGATGTATCCTTCCTTTGTCCGACTGCACGCAAATACTTCGCAGAGTGAGTCTGCTTGGAGCCCACAGCTTCCCAAAGCAGGTGATGATCTTAGACAGCAGCTTCAACGAGACATGGAAGCCTGGAACACCATCGCTCGACAAAGGTTGAGCGCCTCTCGTGATGCTCGGAAGCGGTCGGAGAAGGACGTTCAACTCCTGGCGAACAGACTACGGCTTTTAAGGTCTGAGGAAGCCAAAGCTCTCCGCATTATTGAGGAGGTGCGACGGCGGACAAGAGAAGTGCTGGAGACAAGAATGAATAACGAGAAGATGCTGCAGTATCAAGAGACCGCCAAGCAGTGCAGCTTGAAGGAGCCCCGCCTGAAACGATGGCTCTTATACCCAATAAATAGTTGGCAAGTACAGCGACAGCGCCGGTTAAGA